TACAAATGTTACCTATAGCTATTTATACACCCTCCTTAAAGGCTATTTATACCCTCTCCCTGCTTTTGTGCTGCTGGCTGGAGAATATTCTTATATGAGTTGTTTTCAGTAACACGGGGATGTTCTCCAGCCATCACCTGACTGCAGGACCATACATTTCCAACGCCATTCCTGAAAGAAGAGGATGATTTGTGGACAGCGACCTGTGTTACTTTTCATTTTTTGTAGTGTAAAACGAGAAATGGAATGTGAAAGGAGAATGGAATGTGTTATTTTTCACACTCATGTAAAAGGTAAACAGCAGCGACTGCAGTCAGGAGTAAAGGGGTGAGGCTGAAGCACTGGAGTGCTCCTCTAATGGGGATAGTTAATGTAGTTTGTCACTTTTGTGCCTGACGAGCAGTGCAACGGTACCTTTGTCTCTTGTTAGAAGAGATGATGGTGTTTTCAGGGTGGATTTCATTTGCTGCAGTCAGAGAAATGAGGTTGTGTTTAGTGACCATTGTTAAGGCGTAGCATCCCTGCCCGTGATGGTGATTACGCCTGGGCGCTGTCTGGGACGTATGCTGCCTGGCATGTTGCCACTGTGCCCCACCTTTGTAACGTGATAGTGAGAGGACTCTTCTTCCCTGCTGCTGAGCTAGAGGTGATGCTGTTTAATTTCCATCTATCCTGCTTCCGTTGTACCAGGATAGATGGAAAAGCCAGGTAGACAGATGAACGCCAGGTTTGCATCTCTGATGCCAGTCATTGCAATAAAGGGGAGAAGGGGATGAATATGTCTGATAATAACAGTGTTAATAAGAACAATCAGTTCAGCTGAAGGAGGCAGCTCGTTGCATCAAGGGTCAGGAGTAAATGTTTTCCCCATTTCCTGCATTGTGCAGTTGAACAGGAGCAGTGTAAGGTTATTTTATTGTTTCCAGGAGTGCTGGACCCAGCCACCCTGCTGGAGGTCGCATGCTTGGCTTGCTGCATCATTGATCCAGCTTGCTATAGCAAATTCTTTATTCTTCTTAAACGTGGACTTGCACTTAGAAAGCAAACAATCTTTTAACATTCCTGAGGCTGAAAGCAGTAAAACTAGTGGCTTTCGTCATCAGAGATGCTGTCTTTGTTAATCACTCCGGGAATAATTTGTGAATCCAAGGGAATGTGCTATCCAACAAAGAGGGTTTGAGAGCAATTTTTTTTTTTAAAAAAAAGGGGGAAAGGGGAAGGGATTGCAGCTTCCTGTGCACTGGATAATTGGGGCTGGCTTCTCTGCAGTCGCTGCAGTTACACGGCACTCCTGTGACTGGGTTTGGAAGCTGAATGTGGGTTTCCCTGATTCACACTGTAAAGTTTCCAGTTTGGTCTATACTGGCCAGCATCAGTGTGTTGAGTTTGTCAGCTGCCTCTTATATGGCAGTTTTGCAGTCATGGATATTTGCTTATGACAGATAAACAAAAATAACTGCATTGTCTTTCAAAAAACGTCGTGTCTCATTAAAGTATCAGCATCACGTACGAGATTGGTTTTGTTTTTAGAAATGCTGAAGTAATGGCTTTTTGCACGAGGCTTTTCCCCGGAGGAGTCTCCGGGAGCGCAGAGCGTGTTTTAGCTCAGTCTCTTGCGTTTGATTTTTGTTTTCTTGCAGTTGTGGTCTCCTCTTTTACTACCCTTTATTTAAAGGGTGTTTTAGTGATCCCACGTCACAGGTGGTGGGTCATTACTATGACTGGTGGTGCAGGGCTGCAGTGCAGAGGAAAGGGGTGCTCCTGGGTGGCTCCGGGGCATTTTCAACACTGACCTTGTGGCGTGGATGGGACAGTTTTGATGCTGCTTTTCAAATAGCATGAAATTGGGCAATAATGCTTGCCCTGAGTTAGTGCTTGGAGTTGTCCACCTCCTGCAGTTCAGCTCCTGAAAACTGAAATAACAATGCTACGCTATCACAGTTTAGACAGAGAGTTTTCCCTATCCCGAGCTGAACTTTTCCCAAGCTGCCTGTACCTTTTCTGTGCCTCAGGCTCTTGCTGCCCGTGCTCACAGAGGCAGAGCCATCGGATGCTGCCGATGGGGAGATTCAGGCGTGTGTGCAATGTTTGTAAAGCCTTGGCTTTTCTGTTTCCCTTAGTATTGTAGTTGTCCCTTTTGCAAGGACTACAATGAGAAGATGACTTTCTTATCATTATTTTTTGCAGAAAGAGCCTTCCGACTCCTCCTGAACCTGCGAATGGATTTCTCAACCTTCAGTCATCCAAGGTGTAAATGAGATAGGAGAGGGGGCTTTGCATGAATCCTATCTCCCTGCCGGCAGCCCACTGTCTGCCTGCTTAGTTTTGCATTTTTCTTCCATAGCATGGATTTTATTTTTTCTTTTTTTTTTTTTCTGTAAATGCCTATCAAATCTGTTACTAATTATTGCTGCTACCGAGCCGGTGCTGTTGTTTGCATTGAGAGGTGCAGCCGTTCTGCAGCACGAGGGGCAGGGACCCCCAAATTCCGAACAATCATGATTTACTGTGCAGCTTGGGCAAAGTGCATTTGTTGCCTTGGAAACAAATAGCAGCAGTGAACAACTAAATGAAATTTATGGAATCAACTTCAATAAATCTTGATGATAAATGTGCAAAAACATACACAATTTGATGAAGATCTACAGTATGCAGATGTGAAGGATGATAGTAAGTTATATAACTGCTTCGGCTATGGTTTTGGACTGCCACAGTCATGTTCCTGTAATATGGGCTTTTTTGTTGTTTCTGAGGAAGCTGTCTGTTTCTTTTCATAGATATGGCATTTAATTTTAATTTCCAGGGTATCTTTTAGTTTAATTGGCATGCTGGATGATTACAGTGTGTTGTTTTGTCTTTTGCAAATCCTGATTCATATCTAACTCAGGATAAAAATAAAATTGAGAACTGTGGCAATCTAAGGGAGCAAAAAGTGCCATGTCGCACGCCTCCAAGAAGGGTGCAAAATTTCACAAATTGATTAAAGCTTTTATGTAGGACATCTCCCTAATTCCTTGTATGAGCCTTTGTGTTTCACAAGACAGGGACAGGTTAGTGATTCTGTAGTTACAGTTTAGCTCTGCAGCAGATTTTTTTTCTCATGTGGAAAGGTCTCTGTATTTACCTGTGCAGAGGGACAGGGTAGGTTTTGTGTATCACAAGTGGTATTTTCTAAAATTGATATCTTTTGTTTCTGTTTTGACCTGTGGATCAATAAGGGTTCAGGAATATCAGTGGAGTTATCTGAAGACTATGTTGTAAACCTTTAACACAGCCCTTAATGCAATTTGATGTTTTTCCATTAGTTTCCTTACCTCTTCGCATTACAGGGTCTTATTTTCACAATTTTCTGCTTGGTCAGGAAGCACAGGGAATCTTTGTTTCTTCCTTTCATGGGGCTTTGGACCCCGCTTTCATGCTTTAGCTGCGGTCAAGCGGGTGGCAGCTGTCAGAGGGTTGCACAAGGAAGTATTGCTCCCTCCCGCTTGTGGTTTCTGCTGCAGCTGCCTCATCGGTGAACTTGGGTCCCACAGGTGATGGGCAGGGGTATGGACATTACTATCTTTAGGAGATTGCCTCCCTATATCTTAAGCCAATTTCTCTGCAGAGGCATCTTTTCCCCACTGTGCCTAATTGGTGCTTTGGTTTTGATGAATATTGAAGGTCTACCAGATGGACTGGTCATATCTTACCCTTGGATCTCCCTTTTCCTTCTTTTCTAACCCTTTCATCTTGGCTTACTCCTGGAATAAAAGATTGTTTCCAAGAATAAAGACCTCATGTTAGTGCTATCCTCGGACTATCAGCAAGTAAAAAAAAAAGTGAGTTGTAACGCAGGATCTTGCTACTGCCTCAGTGTGTGGTTTGCTGCTGTTATTTCAGATGCACCAGTTTTTCTTTGTTACTCGGATCTACCCAGATTCAGAGCCAAGCCCTTAAGTTGCTAAGTATCTTCCAGCCCACAAAGTCAGCGCCTCACCATGTCAGCCGTAATATGTTGTACAGATTTAGAAAATCCCTACGCATGTTAAGTATCTAGCCTGCGAATCATCCTAGGTCTGCACTGGTACCAGCATTTGCAGAGCGGCTCTGCAGAACCCAGCGCTTGCACAGAGATCATTGCAATGCATTTTAATTTATTTTATGCTAGACGTACTCATAACCTTGGCAGGGTTCAAAATTTGAGTTTCCCTTAGATCAAGGTGTGGAAGGCTGTAAACTTGAAGGGCTTCCTTCAGAAACTCTGTGCACGTGTGATGGTTTCTAAGATGCGCTCTGATGTTTACAGAGCACTGTAGCTCTTCCCATTAACATACAACTGTATAAGACAGGTTGAACTCCATTAGGAGCTAAATTTAGTGACTCGCTAACTTCTTTTTGATATGTTTTTATAATTTCATTGTATTATGACACTTGGTTTTAAATTTGCATGAGTAAATGAGCCTCTCACTAAGTCATGTAAAAAGATTTTTCACTTATCTACCATGAAATAAGACATTAAAAAAATAGTGAGAGTAGAAAGCAATGTATCCTTGACATATTTAGTTTACGTTTTTTTCAACTGTGCTGACTGAACATTTCTAACTATTAATGATACAATAAAGCTGTTTGTAGTGCTCTAACAGGCTAAATAATTTCACATTATGGAGACATTTTGTAATTAATTTAGTATTTTGTGAGGGAATTGTATTTTTTGAAAATAGAAATTTCCATTTAATTACATTCACAATCCGAATTGTAAGATACAGCGAGTAAAAACTGGCCTTTTATGGTTCACTTCGAAACAGTAAAGTCCATGAACATGATTAACATTAGCAATCAGCTTTAACTGGGATTTCCATAACTTTTTTAATAAGCTTCCTGCAGCATTGCTTAAAAATACCCCTTGGTCAGTGAAGCTCCTGCAGTTGTTTGAAGATCAGACCACACGCCTTCATCCCTGCCATCACAGGGAGTTCCACCAGCTTCTGTTTCACTAACAGGGATTTATGGTCTTTTTTTTAAAATGTATCTGAACTTTTATTCAGTATAACCTTGGCAAGACCTGAGCAACTTTGAGATCTGCACTTTAAAGGTATTTTTCCCCTCTTCTTTCCTATCCAAGAAGAGGAAATAGACCATCCAAGCTTCTGCCACCGGTGGGTTTTGGGGGATGTATCTGGGAGGAGGCCAGGGTGGTGATGGGGCAAGAGCATCCCTTTGTTTCAGATGGGCCATGAGCAGCAAGGAGATGGTGCCAATGCTTGTTTGGTCCTGACCTGGACATTGGTGACAAGCTCACACAGAGGTGAAAGTCCATCTGTTAATTACCTAGCTTCTTTGCTCTCTCCACCTCTTGATGCCACCATTTTTAATGTGTTATTAATTTTTTTTTTTACACACCACCCCTCCACCCCCCACCCCCATTTTCATTAATAGTGACAGATGCTTTTAATTAAAAAGAAAAGACAAAACAAAATCCTGAGTAAAACAAAAAGAGAATATTCTAATTTGGCATGACATTATGAGGCAGAATGGCTCCTGGCATGCAAGGTACGGAAAAGGTCATCTTCCACAGCTACAGCCTTTTGCAACGGTGGAATTAAGTTCAAACTCAGGCTGGTTTTGAAGTCTTAAGTCTCTCCAGGGATTCCTTTCATAACATCTTCGAACTGGATAACACTACAGTAAATGAAATACACTGCACTGGATTAAAGGGTTATTTCCCCTGTGTGTCAAGCTGACACAGAATACCAAACCTCAGGTTGCCTCCGAGTTGTCTCTATCTGCTGATACCCTCTCTGCTTTACATAACAGCTCAGAGTTTTTGCAGGGAAGTTTTGCGATTATTTATTTGGCTTCGCCACTTGGTGAATGCAGTACAATTTTATGCAGCAAGGAACCAAAATAAAGCAACTAAATGGGAAGAAATTTAATGGGCTTAAAAACGTGAAGGAAGCAATTTAGGGAAGAGCAGAGCTGCCCCTTCAGGTCTATTATTCTGCTCTATAATTTATACTGAAATACAAAATATAGATCTCTCTGCATTGCCACTCAGGTTTAGCAGCACTGAGCTTGCAGTAACAACAGGGTATGATATATGCTACTGTGCTCTTATCTGACTGTACCAACAGTTAAAATTTGTTAAGGATCATTTGCAATGTGTTTTGTTGTAGAACAAATGTTCATTTTGACTTTGAACTTGGTGTATGCTGTAGCTTCTGCAGATTGCGTTTAGCACCGGGTAACCAAACCACTGCCATCTGCACAGTGCCAGGGACCACCGTGGCTGAGCTCCAGAGCACGTCCCCCTGTCTCCACACTGGGGAAAAGATGTGTGTCTTTAAATATTGGCTTCTCCAGCTCCATTGTGGCATGCCACAGCCAGCCGCCCGTACCTGGGGAGGAGCAGTGGGGTGGCAGGTTGGTCCTGGGGAGGGCACCGTCTCCAAGGTCAGGATGGCAAACAGTGGTGGGCATATATTGAATTCACTCTGAAACTGCAGAAATTGTCGTGGTTCTTCCTTTCCCCCACTGAAACATTGATTAAAGACCACTCTGAAATTATGGGGAGCCTGTAAAATGCTAACTGTGAAATAACTTTTCTGAAAATGAAGAAGAAAACTATTTCTTCTCCCTCCTTGCGTCCTCCCATTTTGTTTTGTCCCAGGTAGTCCAAGGCTAGTTGGGTCCTATGGAAAACTGGAGTTGTCTTATAAAATGTATATATAAAATAAAATGCATCCTCTATGTTGTTGATACATTTGGAGTTGGTAAAAATAGGGCACTGTGCTCCATATGTCAGTGTGTGCCTCTGGTTTCTGTTCTCTGCATTGAATCTATCTTCTGCCTCTATGGCTTGGCATCCTCCCACACGGTGGTTTTCTCTGGATGTACTTATGGCTACCACTGGAAAAACCACCACCAACTGCTGCTCCTCTCAACCAACCCCCAAAGCCCTCTCCTGACAGCTTATGGGATCAGTGAGGGCTGCTGCCTGTACTGCCCGCTCTTCACGAGGATGGGGAGAGGCAGCGTTTCCTCTCCCCAGTCCTGCTCTTGCTCTGCTGGGCTGATTAGAAGTTACAAACATGGTTTGTCTCTGTTCGCTTTTGGAATAAGGTGCAGTCTGGCCGGGACTTAAACACTGACCTTGGGCTCTGTGGAAGTTGTTCCAGCAGGAACTGTGTGTGCTCCTCGAGCAGGTGTCTCTACAGGCATCAGGTTCCTCTGTTTCCAAGTGTTATTCACATAAACACCCACACACATTAAAAACATGTGGGAAATGATAGTTTCAGGTTTCTGCTGTCCATGAGTAATTCAAATCAATGGCATTTTTAGATTTACCTCTTACTGAACAATCTGGGAGGAGAAGCAAGGGCAAAGGATTTGCATGTGCTGCTTGTCTGGGTTGGTTGGAGGTATCCTCATGCTCCCCGTGCTGCAGCCTCTTAGATGGTCTGTGTCTTTCCAGGAGGTCTGAAATCTCTCTGGAAAAGCTGGGACATATTGAAAATATGCTCAGAGCTTTAGCACTTCCTCCAGATTATTTCTTCAAGTATTTAAAAATATATTTTATAACACTAAAATAAATGTTAATGAGTCTGCATTGCTTATGGCTAACAATAGTATTTCTATTTAAATACAGCAGCCTAGCGTTCAGTGGTGGAGGAGCTGGATGAGATGACCTGGCTTTTTGTTTCTGACTTGGTCCTTGATGTCTTGAGCAGTTTTATTCACTTGTGCTTTACTTTCTCCATTCTGCTAAATAGCAATGAAAAGCTTGCTTCCTTTGTTAAAGCACCTAGGATTTATCAAAGGCCACTGGGCAAGTGTTAAATACTGAGCTGGTTATAAAAAGTGTTAATTAGTGTTGTGTTTATATCTCTTCAATGTTAGCATGTATTTTTATATACTACTTTGGTGACCTTTCTGCTTTTCCAACCAAATAAGGACAGTCTCCTTGACTCAGGGATTTTATTGGGTTTTTTCCACTAGCAGGCGTGGTATTTTCGAAGTAATTGTAAATACTCATTTTTGGGGGTGCTTTCAGTGTTTGCGTTGGGGCTTGTGGTGCTGGAGATGGCAGTTGCACACAGAAGATGGGAGAGTTGTGTAAGAGTAAAATATGAGAGTAAATAATAGCTTGGAATTCCGTTCCTCTCATCTTCATTCTTTTTTTCAGTTACTTACAATGAAATTTTATTTTAAGGATCTCAACTTGCCATGTTACATGGACAGTGATCTGGGGAGGCAAGTGGAGGGGAGCTAGCCCAGGGCACTTCACCTGATGAGTCGGCAGCCTTAGAGAGTGCACGGGAGCAGGGCATGGAGTCAGTGGGGAGAAAGGTGTAGGAGTAAATGGGATGGCAGGAATTCAACCTTGGCATTGTGTCAAAGGCACCGAGCCCTTCTCTGAGCAGCTGCGTACCCTGTGACTGCGGGAAGCCAAATGGTTTGTTTGTGTGTTTACATGGATATATGTGGGTCTGTGTAGGGAAAAACCACTTAGCAGAAATTCTGCTGTTAAAGCAGATGGTGGGAGATTAATCTGGTTTTTAGTGGGGTACTTACTGTTATGGTGACCAAATTATTAATTTCTTCCTGTGCTGGGAGTCCTTTCATCGTTACAGGGTATGGGTGAATTGTGTTTCTTGAAACTTGGCTCCTTTTTTGCTTTCTCAAAAGCAGTTGAGCTGATGTAGTATTCTGGGAAGTGAAAGAGTGTTTGTAAGGTTTTGTTGCTGCGGTTTTGCTGCTCAAGCCCTTTCCAGGTGCTCCCGTGTGGTCTTGATCCATTTCAGTTTTGTAGGCAGCCCGGTTTGGGCAGCTACCTTGTGGCCTGCCTGCCTGCCCTCCTGCAAACCAATGGAAGTCCCTTCGCTGCTGTTCAAATGCTGGTTGTTTAGATTTTTTTTTTTTCTTCCATTTTAGAAATTGCTCTTTTTTTCCCCCCTGCTGTATCACTGACAGCTGCATTCTCCTTGACAGTTGTGATATTTGTATGTGTGCATAAAAACAGTAGGAAGCATTTATGTAGGTGTCACTAATTTAATTTAATTTAATCTGATATGTATGTATAGAGAGGACTGTTTTGCACTAAAGTGCTTCTCTTTATTTTACAGTCTCCATCGTCATCAAATACAACTCCTTTCATTCTCCTCTTCCATTCACCTACCCAAAGACCAAATCTGGAAATAGTAACCAAAAGAGAAGCCCACGTCATACACAAAGCAGGGAAAGGTTGAAATAATTTAAGGGTAAGTACTTTTTTTCACCCTTCTTTTAACCTGAAGCTTTGTGTTTAAGTGCAAGGCTGCATAAAGAAGCTGTTAAGCATATACACAGCTGCTTTATGTGCAAACTGAAAAAAATGACTGACATGCTGATTTGGTGATGAAAGAAGGGTATAGCAGCATCTTTTGCAGGTGAGAAGGTGCCGAGAAGGGCACTGTGCTGGGAGTTTTGAATGTTGGTGCTATTTCTTCTCGCCTGGTTTGATCTGCGCTCCTACCTGGGTGAAAGTGGTGGTTCTGCAGAGGCACGTGGTCATAGACTGTGCATGGGTTTGGCTGGTCTGAAAGAGCTTTCCAGTTGAGAAAGAGCTGGGAGTTCAGCTTCCCTAATCTATTGGAGAGCTCTTTTGTCATTTCCTTCTGTTTTTTTTCCACTTAAAACATTACTCAGCTATGATGGCAAGCTACGGTAGATCTGTTTGCGTGGTGCAAGATATTTTGGCTTGCTATTGCTTTCTGCAATCCCCTTGGTTTTGTGGGCTCTGTGAGCCTTTCCTGGAGAGCAACCTGGCGGTGTCTGCATCAGCGTTTTCTGAAGGAAAACGTTGATGGGGGCTGGAGGAGGGACAAAGCTGAATGGCAGAGCGAGGAGGGCCTCTCGGTGGAAATGTTTGCCTTAAGGCTTTTCTTTTGCTGCGAGGGTGGAGAATAAGCTAGGAGGAGATAGAAAATCAGCTTTTGTGAAATTCAGAACCCTGGCTGAAGCATTAGTAATCTCCAAATGTTAGGGAATGCGTTTTCCCACTCTAGTCCCAGATTGGTACCTGCATATATTGCATTTTCACACATGTTCTTTTGTAGATGGACAGGATATGCATCCGCTTACATTTGAGAACTTAGCTTTAAACATCTGGGTTTTCTGGTTTATTGCTGCTTTTTTTTTTTTTTTTTTACCCCTGCAATGTTTGTTCATGCAAAATTCATATCTGGGAAGGGCATCTTAAATCCCTGCTTCTGAGTCAAAAAGGGAAAGTATGGAAGTGAAAAGAGAGATTGTATCATTTAAGAAATATGATTCATGAATTAATCCTCGTCTGCTACACCATCTGTGGCATGTGTTTCAATACAAAAATCCTGTTTTTATATCTCTTTAAAAAGCTTTCTTCTTGCTGGCTGCCTGAGTTTTCTGCAATGCTAATGGGGAATTAGCTTCTTTTTGGGGAGAGAGTGGTGATTTTTATTTACAGCCTGGGCAGGAGACCCCAACCTGTGTCCAAGATGTAGGTCATCGAGGGAGACAAAAAGCCCTGTTTTTTCGGGGGGTGCCAGTTTTCTGTGTGACGCCATGAGCCTGACTTGCAGACAAATCCCGTATGTGACTGCTTTTTTGCTTTGGAAGCGTAGCTGGGTCTCCTGCTGCCATGGCAGGGGTGGTGCAAGGGACAGGCAGTGATGGGCAGGAGATGCAGGCAGCTGTCTAGATTGTTCTGCACAGAAGTAAAAATTAAGGGGTTGTTTCTAAAAGTGGACTGGCTGAGTATTTTGTACTTGCTGCTCTGGAAAATAAAGGATTGAGGTAGTACCTATCCTCTGTTTCCTAGTAATGTTTTATAATCTCTTTGGAGATACAGAAATAGGGGGGTTTTCCAGCATTGCCCCAAAGAGGAGCTGCTGTGCTTTATGACTTCATGAGAAATGGGGAATGACAAGGGCGCTGGTATTTTCTGAGGGCGTCTGGAAAACGGGTCTCCTTTTTCTAATTTGATTCCTTGAATTGTTCTCCAGTTTTTTACAGGGAACAACTTTACTTTTAAAACATATTTCTCAGGTTTCTACTCCTTAAGCAGTACACCTGGTTTGCTGCTGGAGTCAGACCCGAGGTGTGTGAGCCTTTTTCCACCTTCACAGACAGGATCCCCAAGCAGGACAGCATTTCAGCACATGCATCCATCATTGATCCCCTTCCTGGGTTGATCCTTTCCCTGTACCATGGCATCTTGCTACCAGGGATTGCCCCATCAGTTTTGTCCTCTGCTTCATGTGTGATGCCAGTAAAAGCTTGAGTGTTTTTCTCTTTGTTCTGGAGGAGGATCCGGAGGTGCTGCGGACAGTGTATGGCCATTGCCCTTGCCACAGCTCATGGTGGCCTCAGCCCGTGGCACGGTGATGCACCCACGTGGCCACAGCCTCTTCTCTGCCAGTGTCACTAATGTACTCTAAGTACAGCTCTGGTGAGCTCCCAGGCACTGATAATGCTGATAGATGGGGGTTATCCAGGAACTCAGTACCAATGGTGAAATATTGCGGGTTTATTGCCTTTCCATTCATTTTGTTTTCACGCCTTTCTGCCTTCCTGACTCATTGCCATTCGTCCTCTGCTTGCAATTTCTATTTGCTGCGGTAACACCCACTGGACAAGACAAGAGCGTTGCAAAGCACTGATGCTCGCAACTGCTTTTGGAGCTTTTATTTTTTTAATTGAGCATCTAAAACCAGGACAGGTGACAAAGGAAAATGTGAGCGATGCCTTTTGTTGGAAGCATGAATAAAGTATTAAAATGAAGGAGGAGCAGAAGAAAGGCCTCTTGCATTGTACGTGGCAGGCTGGCTTGAAGATTTGGGCTGAAAAGGCCTGCTGCTGTCCCTGTGTCTGACATAGGCTCTGTCCCCAGAGGCCTCCCACCTGAGACTGGCTGCTGAGACAAGGTTGATGGTGGGAGATGCTCTGCCCTGTACCCAGGTGCTGAGACCATTTAGTTTCTTGCATGCTTCCTGAGAAACGTTTTCCTTTTTCCCTCTGTTATCAGAAATCCTCTTCTGCTTACTCTTTGGGGAACCCTTGGGTGTGTGGGCACTTCACAACATGAAAAGTAAACTCCTCAAGCACTGAGTACCCCAACACTACTGTAAATAGCTGCATGTTAAGGGAAGATAATGTCAGCGGTGGTTCAGCAGATGTTTAACCCAAACTGGAAGTAGGCTGAATTACATGCTTCTATATGGAAAATACTTGCAGGAATGCAGACGAGAATTGGCACTCAGCTTTCTGTCCATCTCACTCACAGACACACCTTGTCTTTCCCAGCTTTTGCTAGTAACTCTGGCTAGTTTCTTGTATTCCTTTACAATATTCTGCAATTTTGCATATTCCTTAATTGCTTCAATAATTTTTTTAATGAGTTCCTAAGCTTGTTGGCCATTCTTTATCTGCTCCATGCTATAGTCTGGGAAGCAGAGGTTGTTTCCTTGTGTCTGTTCTGCAAACCCCCACCTCTGTTGGGTGTGCGCTGCTCCCTCCTGTGCTGCTGCACAGGCAATCACATTGCCATGGTCTCTAGAATGAGGGTTATGGACTTTGTATCTTGAGAAGGTCCTGTGCTTACTTATGTGGCCAGCAGTAGCATTTTACAAAAAACTTTCAGACCTCATAGAAGCTCTGCTGGTAAAAAAAACCCAACAAAACCAAATTCTACCAGGAATGGAAAAGAATAGCAGTCCAAGCATTTTGATAAGCATATTCCATTAGCCATGGTTTTTACTTTTTATTTTAAGCTCTGATTAAAATTCAGCAGCTTTTATTTAAAGAAAAAAAAAAATGTTTATGTTCAGTGTAAGCCCTTATTTCCACCACAGCGTGAGTTTGTAAATGAGGGGCTCCGGTGGATCCCCCCCAGCTTCTCCTCCCTCCTCTGCAAGGTCCCCCCTCATCAGCGAGGGTCCTCGCTCATTAGTGGCTGTGGCTGGGAGGGGGACGATGCTCGGTGGCAGAGGACACGTGACGGCAGCCAGTTTCTTGTGGGAAGCTAATGAAGAGATGAGAAGCATCGATTCACTATCTATTTGTTAGGACCCCAGTGAAACAGCTGTTTGTTTCTCATAAACAATTATGCCAAGACGGAAATTGGCTTGTGTCTGTACGTACTTTTTGGATGGGGAAAATTAAGCAGTAATAGCTGGAAAAATAATATGGGCTATGAGATAATAGATGCCTAAGGGATAAAATTAAACAGTACTTTACAACGAAGGAAGAGGTTTTGGCAATAAATAGTTTGCGTTTGACTTCCTTTTGTTTGCCAGAGGACTGATGTTGTTTTGGAGAGGTTGTCCTGGGATGTATTTTCCAAACAGACACAGGAAAATAGTGAAGGTCTTTTTTTCTTTCTTTTTTGTTGTTTTTTTTTTTTAATTCCTCCCAAGAAGCATGGTACCAAGGCTGGGGTGAAGCTCACACCATCTCACTGCCATCGTGTTGGCTGTGACAGGGATGTGGACACCAGGGCTTTCTTTGAGCAACACTGCCAGTGCAGGATGTTTAAAAGAAAACAGCAAGGTTTATCAAACAGAGCGGGAACAGGAGTTGTTTTAAATGCCATAGGGAGCCTAAAAAGCTCGGGAAGGAGAGGTGGCATGTTTGACACCCTGACAGGGTCCGAGCAGAGTTTATTCACAATATGCATGTGTGCTGGTGTTGCTACTTGGCTGGCTTTGGTCTGCTGCAGAAGCCTCTTTCCGATAATGCAGTGACAGTGGGATTTTGTTTTGTTCTGCCATCCCTCCATTACATGCTTTTCTATAACTCCTCTGTCAGCACCTTACTAAGGAGGGGGTGGTTTGGAAGGGCCTTTTTATCCATTTCAGGGGGCTCGTACTGCCATCTTCAGCTTGTGCATAGGGGATGTGCAGAATTTGGCCAGGCAAACGCCTTTGTTGCCTCCCAGTGCTGATGGCAAACATTCCCACAAGCAGAGGGCTTGCCCTCTACTGCAAGTTGCCACGGGCAGGGCTTGGTTCCTCTTCACTGCGCAGGGAATAAAACCCTGTTCAAATGGAGCTGCAAACCCTAATCCCACCTGCCTGAGGATGGAGCCAGGTGCAGCGGGTTGAGATCCGAGTCTTTGGCCCAAGCTCATCCCTGCTATCACCTTTTAATTTCACAGAGCTCAGGGAAAACCTCCCCGCCAGGTAGGAGAATTTCCTAGGTGTGTACGGGGCTCGGGGGAGAGTCCCAAAGTGCAAAGTGCCTG